TATATATATATGAATATATATATATATATTATATATATTATATATTATATATATTATATATATTATATATATATATATATTTATAAATGTATATATATATATATATATATATATATATGTATGTATACATATATATATATATATATATATATATATATATATATATATATATATATATAAATATATATACATGTATATATATATGTATATATATATTATATATATATTATATATATTATATATTATATATATATATATATATATTTATAAATGTATATATATATATATATATATATATATATATATATATATATATATATATATATACATATGTAATATATATATATATATTTAGATATATATATATATATATATATACATATATATATATATATATATATATATATATATATATATATATATATATATATATATATATATATATCTAAATATATATATATATATATCTAAATATATATATATATTACATATGTGTACATAAATATATATATATATATATATATATATATATATATATATATATGTATATGTATATTATATATATATATACATATATATATATATATATATATATATATATATATATATATATATATATATATATATATATATATATATATATATATATCTAAATATATATATATTACATATGTGTACATAAATATATATATATATATATATATATATATATATATATATATATATATATATATATATATATATGTATATTATATTTATCTATAATAACACACTGTTGTTTGTTATTTAGGTAGTTTTTAAACCAATTTAAAGCTTGATTTTTTACACCATAGTTTTTCATTTTTGCCAGGAAAATCTTGTGGTTGACGGTGTCAAATGCCTTTCACAAATCAATAAGGATTTTCAAATTTATTAGCATCATTCTTTAAAGTATAGAATTTTTATTGTTCAAGCTTCTAATAAAGAAATTAATAAGCTTCTTATACAAATTTACTTATTAATAATTTGAGTATCATGTAAAATCTCACTTACATCCTTAATTTATAATTTACTAAAGAATCATAAAAGAGTTAAGCAATTTTTATTAATATTAATTTTTTGCCAATAATTGAAAAATAAAATATCTAATTTAAGGGAAAAAACCCCTCAAAAAATTATTTTCTAAAGTAAAGCAATAACTAATTTATTACATGTTCCAATTAAAAGTACACAAAATGTTAAGAAGATTTATCATAAAAAATGGCACTGCGTTGCCATAGCAACATGGTAACTAAGGAAAAATATTATATATATATATATATATATATATATATATATATATATATATATATATATATATATATATTTATATTTATATTTATATATATGAGTGTGTGTGTGTGTGTGTGCGTTTGTGTATAGGTAGCAATTATTTACAGTTTTTGGTGTTAGACAAAAACCCTATAATTTTCTTGAACTTTACTTGTTTCTATATTTTTTTTAAGGTTAAGCATGAAACTTGAGATTTTTTGCATTATTCAGTTTAAATCTACCTCTTTTCAACCATATATAGGAAGTACTATTTACTATTTTATATACTTTTTATATGGCTTCACTTATATATTTTACTTTTCAGAGTTTTAGAAAAAATTTATATCCCAACTTGCTGAAATGAAAAAAATTTTAGTAGATAGAACTGCACTGTTCTCTAATAATCCAGAAGAAAGTTTTAAACAACGTAAAAGTTAAGATAAATTTAATGTTTTGAAAAAAAAATCCGCAAATGGAGATATCCAATACATCACTTTTGTATACATGAGTTTCATCTTTATATTTTATATGTTATATATTATTACAATATTTATTTTAAATTGTCATAAACATTTTCAATGTTTCTAATACATTGTTTCTTTTTAGGTAAAACAGTTATCATTAATTGGAGGTAAAAATCTAGCTGATACAATTAAAAATATTTTGCTCTTGTAAGTAATTAGCAAAAGTTTGAATTTTAACATTTATGACTGACAGTACAGCATTTATCTTCTTTTTTATATATGTAGACTGCCAACAGACACTATTTTGTCAGAATACAGCATGAATTGTCTAAAGAAGAAAAAAAAGTTTAAAGAGTTGACAAGTCTATGTTACGCTGTCACTGGTATTCTTATTAGCTTATTATTGTGTTTGATTAATTAAAAATTAAAAATGATGTTTTAATTAAAAAAAAAAAAATTTAATTTCTTTGGCTATGGAACATGACATGTATTCAAGTGTATGTATACATGACATGTATTTTTTTTTAATGATCTTTTTAAAACATGTTTTGTTGTTTTTATTAGACGCTGCTTTAAAGTCAAATAAAAACTTAACCAAAATGGATGCCATCCAACTTATTGGTAAAGTAATTAGGCATTCTTCTGACCGAATAAAGAGAACATCCACTAATATGGATTTCAATCAATGATTAACTGTTGTATTTTTTTTTTTTTCCATTTTTATGCAATTTTCTTTTTTTTATAAT